AGCCTCCATGAAAAAAGATCTTGGATCACACTTGCTGCTTTCATGATATGTTTCCATGCGCCTTCAGCCCAAAGCGGTGGATATCACACAGAACCAGCTGTTATTGCAAGAAACCACTTGGTTGGAATCATGCGGTTTCAGGTATCCCTTCCTGACTTTGTGTGCAGACTGTAAGTTACACACACAAATCTAAGAATTAACATTTTAAACACTTTTTCAAAATGAAGGCATTCTAATGCTTAATCCACATTTGATCCTAAATATTACTGAGGCTAAAAAGCTGAGGAATTAAAGTTTTGGCCTTTTGAGAGAGAGATTGGTCCAGGACAACAGAGTTAGTGTTAGAGCTACAAAAAGAAATCAGAAGTACCTAGTGATGATGTCAACTGCATTACAGAAGCCAAATTTTAGTTCTGGAAGACCAAACTTCCTGCAGCTCCTGCAAGGACTAACCTTGTTTCTCCTTACAACCAAATCATGCTACCTATGCTCAGCAGACCGCTCACAGAGCTTTTGCTTCACACAGAGCAGTGACCGCAGCACAAGACGCAAGAGGTATCTCACCTACTAAAGCCCAGCTCCTTTTTGTAACACCATAGGACAGAGGGTCTGGCCTTTACAGTTGCTTTAGACAACATGTGATGAAGTATAACCACCTGCCAAAACACAGAAACGTTCATGAACAACTGTACTCACAAGCTAACGCGGAAGAGCAAAATATTTTTCTATACTTGATTTTACAGCTATGTTTTCTACAAACCAGCCCTGTGCAAAACAGAAATTCATGAACAACTGTACTCACAAGCTAACGTGGAAGAGCAAAATATTTTTCTATAGTTGATTTTACAGCTGTTTTCTACAAACCAGCCCTGTGCAAAACAGAAAGATCCCTTGGCATTTTGTGAAGGTTACATTCCTTTTTATACAGACCTGCACGTCTGTGCCTTCCCCAGGGCTGCATGACATTGAAGATGCTGAATTATACCTACCGTTTCCTTTGCACTCTTCTTTAGCAGAACTGCTAACAACTGCACAAACAGAAGGTGATTATTCCAGGCTAAATACTGTTCCTAGTATTTGTCCCTTAGTATAGCTTTCACACAACATATTTCAGACTTCTCCTACCATTCAACAAGATCTCATTGTGAATTTTAATCCTCTAGTGGGTTTGGCAACCCACCTCACCGCTATGTAGCCTGCACATTCAGTAAGCACACTTGCTGCTCTGGAATCCAACTCAGCAGCGAAAATACTGAACACGACCAGACTCAGAACATGCCCCACCAGAAGTCACCTGTCCACTTTAGTGGTAAATCAAGAACTTTCTTGTACTGCTGCCTGATTAACTCATTATTTTCCAAGTTTTTTTTATAACTAGTTTATTTGACTTCCCCGGGAGCTGGAGCTAGACAAACTGACTTATCCTAAATCAGTATGGTTTTGCCGTGCTGTTCTTTCCCTTTCCACTCAGAAGACGCAAGTCTCGATTCTCACGAAAAGAAGTAAGTTTAGTGGTTAATTTCTTCCATAGGCCTTTACCGGGTAGGTCCAGTCCAAGTTCTGGTGAGGTAATATTGGCGAGATGACTCAGTACGCAAACCATGGCTCGAGTGCAAAACCTTACAGCAGAACTGAGACAGGAAAGAAGCTTCTGCTTGCCAGGAAATTAAATATATTCTGCCCCAGTTTAAAAAAACACTGCGATTTGCCTGCACGCGCTTTATTTAACATTCACGAGCGTCTCGAACCGGAGACGTGGAAGGACAAAGTCTCCTAAACCGTTTCCAGCAGCCCCTCAGCGCCTGCCCGGCGGTGAGCGCCCGGCAAGGCCGCACGCCGAGGCACGCCATTGCGCTGCCTTACTCCGGCCGCCTTTTACCGCTTGCTTCGCGGGGGGAAAAGCCGGTACCGGGGGGCTTCTTC